CTTGATGACTTGGATTTCAAACTATATGATAAACACGTTACAAAAAGATGAAATTTTACTGTAAGGTTTGTATAAAGCTTTGTTTCATGCTAAAAGACTGATCCCCGGGATTCCTTTCACTAAGTATCCTTAAATTAATACAATTCTTAGTGACTGGCATCTGTACCAGTGCTTACTGTGATTTAGAGGTAAACCACTTTCCATGCCAACAAGGTTTGTATAATGCTTCGTTTCATGCTAAAAGACTGATCCCCGGGATTCCTTCACTAAGTATCCTTAAATTAATACAATTCTTAGTGACTGGCATCTGTACCAGTGCTTACTGTGATTTAGAGGTAAACCACTTTCCATGCCAACAAGGTTTGTATAATGCTTCGTTTCATGCTAAAAGACTGATCCCCGGGATTCCTTCACTAAGTATCCTTAAATTTATACAATTCTTAGTGACTGGCATCTGTACCAGTGCTTACTGTGGTTTAGAGGTAAACCACTTTCCATGCCAACATTGTATAATAAAATGTTGTGAATAGTTTCTTATTTCTATCATAGCATTTCAGTGACAACAAGTTAATTTTATTTGTCTGGAATTTTAAAAGCTATGACAGAAATATGTGAAGGAACCTCAAAATGAACAATGGGCACTATATATTTCCAGACAAATTAAAATTAAAAAAAAAAAATATATATAACATTCCATTACATTTACAACAAAACAAAGTACATATATTAAATGAAATTGACCTTCACCGAATGAGATGAACATCTTTTAAATTTTAAGTTTCTTTAAAATAAATATGACCATAGCAGGGTCCATAGCACCAAGAACCAAATGATTTCCAAGACTTTTGAAGACCATTTCCCAAACTTTCTAAAATGAATTAATAACTATGAAGAAATTTGAAGACATTTCAAAGATTTTTTTATTTATTCCTGTAATTTAAAGACAACTCAACGACTTTCCAGACCTCAAAAAATCCAAAGAATTTTCCCAACGCTACGGACCCTGCATAGTTATTCGTGTACACATAGTGAATCCTGCAATACACTGTATAGCCCATATGTTGGAGGAAAGTAAACCAGAACACACATACAGGTGGGCTCAGGATCACAATAGTCACAAAATTTCTTCAAAATTTTGATCAGTTTAAAGGATGTTTAGAAGATTTGGTCTTGAAATATGGCACCCACAGAATAGTGAAGCTTCAAGCTCTGTGTACACATGAACAGATATGGTAAAACTCTAACGGATGAACATTCATAATATTGAAGTGTGGCAGTGAATTATACCCAATAAAAAACCCATGTAGGACCACTGACACTTCAAAAGTCAATTACGTCATGATCACAGTTGTTACCATGTCAGGAAAGAGCAATGAAGATGGTCAGTGATCTGTATGCATGCAGATAACATAGGGATTTGCATATTTGAGAGATGCTTGCTTACCTCTTCTAATGCATCAACTTGGTCTGACAACGTCAACCATACCAATTTGAGATGGAGCTGACCTGACTTGGCATCATCCAATGGCAACCACTGTGGAAATAAGTTATGGTTAGTTATTTCAACTGAGTGTGGTATTGGGACCAGGAAAAAGTAGCTTAGAATTGACACAAACTCTTGCTTAGAAGCAGTTGTTCATAACTGTGCCAAGTCATCAAAGAATTGGTAAACATGTACTTACCGTGTCAATAAATCCTTTTTGTACAATAGTCTCAATATCAACAGTCAAACTGTAAACAAAAACAAATACAACATAAAATGTAACTTTTAAGTAGTCATGTTTTCAGCATCTTTTTTTTGGGAAAAGATTTTTTTTCAGTAGATCAATTGATACACACTATGGTTCTGTGTAAAAGTTAATTTGCAAAATTAGGCTCGTGTAGACACTGACATACAGTTATACACACAATGATTGCAAATAAAATATTCCCCCTTACAATGCATTTGCTTAGTGTTCCAAACGCATCAATAATCTTTTCAAGAATTCAATTTTACATTATGCACGTTAAATTTCCACAGTGTGACATAATAAAAGATATGCAAATAGTTTGACATCACATACTACCAAACATGTTTTCGCTATAAACCCTTATTCCGAAGATTGTGCTATGCAGTCTGATAACTGTAGAATATGGTAAAATATGGTTTATTGTTCCCTAATTATTATTTTGAATAAATTACTTAAAATTTGAAAATGTCCTTGCAAATTGGAGCAAAATATTAAATGTATGCAGGGTATTTGGCATGTTGAAAAATACTTTCACATGAACAAAATTATTGTACAAATTACATTTAGTATTCACTCTATTTTTCAGTCTTGGTATATATGCATGTAATAAGATACAAAGGTAATCTTGTGATATATTCTCTTAAGTTGATACTGAGTGATTACTGCTAGACTGGCATGAATCTAGCTGTATATAATTATTTCAACTTAAGTTCCAGTATGTCATTAGCAGTGGTTTCAAACTGAGAGGTTACTGAGGTGACTCACTTTCCCAAAGATTCATCTTTAGAACTGGTATCTTCATCCCATAGCTCCACTATAAGCTCTTGTCCCTGTGGCACATCAACAATTGCCTACAATAGAAACATAATTCCAGCATAATATTAAATTACAATGGCTCTGAAATATCTGTTACCAATTCAGACATATGTAACCTTTTCACCTCCAGACTTCTGGCCCAAGTTGTTCTGTACCTTTTTTTCATATTCTTCAATATTTCTGGGGTTGAACATTAATTTTGGACCCAACAGACATAATTCAAGTTGATTTTCAGTTTTTATTCAAAAAATTTAGCTATTTTTGCACCCCTCTTCTGAAGAAAATGCAGACTATAAACGGGACTATTTTGTGATGAAAAGGGGAATTGGCGGTGAAAAGGTTGGTG